GTGAGGTCCATGATGAACATAAATCTAATATCATCGTCTCTTTTGTTTGCTTGACTACATACGTATAGAATTGAGATAAAACATAACGTGCACGATCATCAATATGATGTACAAAACGAGGTATACTATAGAATTGTGAATCATCTGTTTCATCTTCACGAATTAAATCAGAAGATGGATTTATTGCAACAATTTTTGGTGATAATGATAGAATGTTTTTCAGACGAGTAAAATCAATTTTTGAATAGATGGTTTTAGAAAAATCGTATGAAGAAGATGATGACGAGGCGGTAGCCATTTCAAGTGAGTTTAGAAAATATTTTAGCATCCAGAATGATCTACAATCTAAATTGGAAAAAGAAACGACATTTGAAAATCTCTCAATTTCTGAAATCACTTCAAAATTCAGAAATCAAGTTATGTGCATACTATATACGTACATTGTTCTTCGATACTAGTTTGCTTTAGACACAGGAGAGAAAAGAAAAGAAAAAAAATATTGGTTGAAAAAGTAACCAAAGAAATGGACAGAACGAACAAATAAAAAAATGACAAGCTATAGATGGCTAGAACAAATAGATGACGGTGGAGTGCGATACAAGAACAAGACAATTGATAGCCAAGGGTGTGGGTGTGGGTGGATGGGGTGTGGATGTGGATGTAAATCTGACTCATATAATTAACTACATCCACACCCACATCCGTATCAAGGAGAAATGGAAAAAAAGAGAATAAACATATATCCATGACTCACTGTCGCTCCATATACATTTCAATTGGAACATAAACCACTCTCGTTTAAATCCTTTTGCAATTCTCTTTATAAAGGTAGAAATGAATCAAGCATTTCTACTTGAAATATTTACATTTCTGTTTGAAAAATACCGTTTCTAGTAGAATTTCGCTATAGGATGAAAAAGATAGTGATTGATATGTCGTTGCATCTTTTGCATTTCTCGTTATGAAGGTAGAAATGCTTCCAGTATTTCTACTTGGAGTGGTTCCCTGGAGAATACGTAGTATTTCTTGAAAGCATTTCTGCTTGACTTTGTGGGGGTAAAGGATTTCTGCTGTAAATGTAACAATTTCTCGATTTTTGGGGATGTTGCCCACCCCTCACCCACGCCCTCGCCTACACACGCCCACACCCTTGCTATTGTCTATTTCTGAGTGACGCACAGTATCTTACACCCTACACGAATGAATAGCGATGCGTGCAGCACATTTGAAATATATTTTGTTCAACAAATATGATTTTTTTGTATTTTTGAATCATTCTTCGTCTTCTCTTCATGTTGCGTGTTTTACAGTTACTACTCGTAGCCCTTCTTAATAGAGTGCGTAGTTGATAAGAATGAAAAAAAGAAAGCAAAAATAAAACTGGAGTTTGAAAGAAAACAATGGTAAGAAATGTAAAATTGGTACTTCTACACACATACACCGCTTATAATAACAACAATGACAGAAAAGAAAAAAAAGTCAATTGGTGCATTATTTAGGCCACTAAACGTGAGGGTGACTAAGATGGCGTATTGAGCAAGCGGAAAACCTATTTATTTAAGAGAAAAAAGACAAGGCAACAGCAGGTATTAAGAGAATAAATAAAGAGCAACAAAAATAAGAACAGAACAAATGATTAGAGGTTGTGAGATGCGAGTGGTGTGAGGCGTGGGTATAAACGTGAATGTGAGTTATTGGTCTATTATCACACTCGCATCCCACACCCACAACCTCTAAACATTTGTTCTGTTCTTATTTTTGTTGCTCTTTACTTATTCTCTTAATGCCTGCCGTTGTCTTGTCTTTTGGGTGGGTGTGGGTGTGGGTGTGGGTGGGGTGTGGTTGGGTGTGTGGGTGGTGTGAGTGTGGATGTGAGGTGTGGGTGTGAGCTTGGGTGT